CACAATGTTTTGTTTGTTTGTTATTCCATCCTCTACTCATTTATATTACTATTAGATTTACGGTCCTTTTAGCTTTTAAGATCGATTTTCCCGTATCAGTGCCGTGTCAGATCACTGTCAGTTAAATCCGTGACGCTTAAGTGCCGTTAGTAGTGACTGTTCAGAGGATGGCAAAGTTTTCAGGCGGAATTTGCCGAGTATCATTATTACTGTTGACTTGGAAAAGGCTAAGCATAAGCTGAAGAAAAAAAGTGGGCACATGAAGCGTGGAAGAAAAGAGATAGTAAAGGTGAGTTTGCTAATCTGTTCAAGTTAATTGATGAGGGAATAAATTTTTCAAATACTTCAGAATGTCTAGAATTGTTTCAACATATTGCTCAGTAAAAACAGGGGCTCAGCTGAAGAAACAAGACACTCGCTGGAGAAAGGCTATAACACCAAGGGGACATGCGTGCGTGCGTGTGTGTTTGTGTATTAGAGTGAATTGCAGTTTGTTTGAGGTTAAATAATACAAATATTGTGTAGGTTTATCATTTTATTTATCTATTATAATCCATACAGGAGAGTTTCCTTACCAACAAACAAATCTTATGAATTTATTTTGCTACACAGTTAATTATAAAAAATAACACAAAATTCATCATTCATTTTTGTTGAGAAGCTCACAACATTCGTCCGACGCCTGTGAAAAATTAAAAAATATCGGTGGCGACGACATTCAAATTCATGGAGACGGAACTGATAATGAGACACAAAACACAGCACTACACTGGAGATGTGTGAATGCGTCGCGTCGGCTGAATTCAAAGCAACGATATTTTTACACTGACGAACTGAGCGAACGCGGCACTGATGTGTATGAATGGACCTTAAACGCCCTGTCTATTGGATGCTGAAGGAAGAAAAACGTTTACCCTGCAAGGCTTACGTTTTCTATGATAACCAAATGCTTTCGTTTTCTATGAATACTCCATGTCAATGATAGACTGTTTCATATATTTGGTTCAATGAATTACGTACGTGAAGTAACTGTGTAATAAGACTGAAAAGTACAGTGTGTTATTTTTGCTATGATGGTAACAATAAAACTGAAGCAAGTCGTGTATGTTAAAAGCTGAGATACCATTATAAAACCCCAGCACGTAAATACCTTTCCTCTATTATGAAACATAAAAATATTTAGTCTTTCGCATTTAAATCTCTGTTCAAAGAATATTGCCATTGAATGAATACTTGCATATTCACAATTTACAATAAAATCCTTATTAAAGGAGTATCCACAATAAATCACCATAGTGGTGCACAACGCCACCTGTAGTTTACAAAAGAGACCCTTGCATACTAATTAGATTCCAGATAGTACACTATGAAAACCATGACCTCGCGTGGGGGAATTCCATGCTCTCCAAAGACATGCTCACCATCTCGACGTCCTCAAGAAGGCACCGTCCGGAGCTTGGTGGATGCAGTTTGGCTTCAAACCGTCTCTGTTGGGTCTTATCACTTTTCAGAGATGAGCTGTGATTTGACACTAAATTTCTTCGGATGTCATCGGAGAGAAGCTTAGAGTACTGGAAATTCTGCTGAGGATCTCCTCGTCGTCTTTCTTCTGCTGCTTCCTCGCCTTCTTTTCTTTCTTCCTTCCTTTTTTTCCTTTTTCTTTTTGTTTTTCATTTTATTTTTGTCATCTTCCTCCTCTTCCTCTTCTTCTTCCTCTTCCTTTTATTCCTCCTCATCCTCTTCCTCTTCTTCCTCCTCCTCATTTTCCTCCTCTTCTTCTTCCTCTTCTTCTTCTTCTTCTTCTTCCTCCTCCTCCTCTTCCTCCTTCTTCTCCTCTTCTCCTCTTCCTCATCCTCTTCCTCTCCTTACTCCTTTTCCTCGTCCTCTTCTTCTTTTTCTCCTTCTTCTTCCTCCTCCTCCTCCTCCTCTTCCTGCTCCTCACCTTCCTGCCCCTCCCCTTCCTCCTCTTCCTCTTCTTCTTCCTCCTCCTCTTCCTTCTCCTCCTCTTCCTCCTCTTCTTCTTCCTCCTCCTGTTGAGTTAATTATAGAAATTTATACATGTGTGTTTATGTATTTATTATTATTAGCGTTGGCTTTTTTGTTGGTTTTGTTGTTACTATTATCATCGTTAGTAGTAATAATAATGGTAGCAATAGTAATAGCATCATCATCATTACAATTATCATTACAATTGGTATTATCATTACTATTATTATCATTATGATTATAATTAGATAGATAGTTAATTTAAGTTTACATATATATGCGTGTGTGTGAGTATGTGTGTGTGTGTTTGAGTGTGTGTGTGTGTGTGTGTGTGTGTGTGTGTTGTGTGTGTGTGTGTGTGTGTGTGTGTGTGTGTGTGTTGTGTGTGTGTGTGTGTGTGTGTGTGTTGTGTGTGAGAGAGAGAGAGAAGAGAGAGAGAGTTTGTGTGTGTGTGTGTGTGTGTGTATGAGTGAGTGAGAGTGTGTTTGTGTGTGTGTTTGTGTGTGTCTGTGTGTGTGCGTGCGTGCGTGCGTGTGTGCGTGCGTGTGCGTGCGTGCATATATGTGTGTGTGTTCTTTGAAACGCAGTTAGTTATAACCTGCGCAGTGTACACATATACCAAGTGTTGCAAGCACACGTTAACGAATGCCCCGTATATTCGCCCTTAACGCTCCACACTCGTGCTCCAATGTTCTATTCAGTGTTACCAATCTAGCAATTATGAAAGTTCACTCTATCGGCCCGACCCAGTGGACATTCATTATACGCACATGCATATAAACAGAAATAAATACATATCTATCAGTGTACGCATGCATATTTACCGGATAAATAGATAACAGTATAAATATCGGATAGACAGACATAAGTGCATTTATTGTTGTGTATATGCATATCTGTATTTACGAATAATCATTGGTTCGGGCCTTGCACAATTTTACCAAACCGGCCGTATAATCAGCGAATTTACAAATCCTGTTTAGAAAGAAAATGAACTGAAACTCTTAGAAATAGCCTGTCTAGCGGTTTTATAGAAATATCACTGGCAACGCTGGTTCTATTTTACCACATTGTAGAACGGAGCACAAGAGGTGCAACACGTAATTACAGCGTCACTACAAAATAGAGCAGTATAAATTGACAGTGCACTACGCTAGTGTTACCATACGGCGGTGAAGGAAAGTTACTGAGGGTGGACACTGGGCAGGTGGGTGGACTAGTGTCAGTGGACAGTGGACAGGTGGAAGGGCGAGATTTAGTGAGGGTTAGGCACTACAGATGAGATGGGTGGACGATACTACTTAAAATTCATTGGTTTGGAAATAATTGGAAATAATACGGTTTTAGTCATTTCAAATTATAGAGGAATGAGGATAGGGCAGAGTGACTTTATAACCAAGTGTAAAATTCATCTCCTTTTCCAACCCTTTCTCGCCCGTTTTCTCTCTCGAACGCGTTTGATTCCTGTTCGTTCTATTTGGCAAAACTGGCAACTCTTAACGCAGCAAGTGAAAAGTTGCCAGATTCCCAGTAAAGTCGATTTTGCTTATGAACGGGTTCTCACGTTTTGTTTTCTACTTTCTTGTTCTTTTTATTTTTATTTTTCCTTTCCTTTTTCGTTTTGCTGAGAATTCACTGATTTTCATTACTCTCTGAACTTCTGAGAGAGATTGGGAACAAGAAGAACGAGAGACGTGTTAAAGTCGTTTGGTTCGCCGGACACCAACAGACACGTAGTCTACTTTTCACAACCAATATCAGGAATGTACAAACTTTAAAAAGATAAATGTGGAAAATGTATATGAATGAAAATTCATTATTTATTGGCAATGCCTAATAAAGGAGGCAACAGACATCACTTTTTTCAGCAAAACGCACGCAGTACAAAGTTTTTCGTGTAGATGTGCTCTGGAGCTGCAATATTATTCAAAAATATTTACCGCGTCTTTCTACTAAATGTTATACATCGCGTACATTAATGCATGTGATGTTATACACTGAATTAAGTTAAAAGTAATCATTATTATTGTCGAAACACGAGTTTAATCATAACTGTAATAAAATGTAAATGCTGTCTTCCGTAACAAAATTCTTCCTTCAGGAATCAATATAGTAAAATATCCCCGCCGTCCACTCATGTTCTCTTCTCTTACGAAGAAGAGAACACAACACCTGTTATATATCAGCGTCACGGTAATGAAACGTAGTTGTGTAAATTCGAGCAAGCTTTATAATATACCTTTATTTTTAACTGCTTACATAGATTGTTTTTGAAGCAAATGATTTTTCCCCATTTTTCTTTTTATTTTTTTTACAAATGAACTTTAATCATAGTGATAAAGTTACAAGACCACATAGTTGGAAGAGACACGCAAGGACGGCGCCCCAAGAAGGCAAAGAAATAAAATAATAAACAGGCTGGAAGGTGAAAGAGCAGTCCAGTTGCTTTATTCCATATATTGTGATGCGCTCGTTGTGGTTAAATTCATATTCCATGTGAGTGTGGAGTTGAAATTGTTTAATCTTTATCTAAAATTAGATGCGACAACATAGGTATTACAGAATCTCTCTCTCTCACACACACACACACTCACTCACTCACTCACTCACTCATTCATTCACATTTACACTTACACACACACACACACATACATACATACATACACAAACACACACAATAAAAGGTGGTGACCTACATTAATACTGGTGGCGCAGAGTAATCTTCTTGAAACAGCTTACGCTTTCTTGGTATGAGTTGCACGTGCGAGGAGAAATAAACGCGATACGAGACTGGCTTCGCTGGGGGTGACCGCGGTAGCGAGCCCTGGCGAGGGCAGCCGCGCGGTCACTAGCGGGAGATGCGCGCGGTCAGGAGGTCAGGCTGTCTCTCAGTTGAGTGAGAGAGATCTAGCTGGGTCGCCTTATGTCAGACCCCCGGCAGCCGGGCGCCTGCCGTGCTTGGCGTGGTCTATACAAGAGGGCACAAGCGGCGGCGTGGGGCCGCATGAGGGGCGACCCACGCGGGCACAAGCGTGACCATTGCAGGCCATGTTGTGTGGCAACATGGCATACTATGGCCATGCTTGTGCCCGCATGGGTGATTCTAAATATACACTCTATGTAGACAACACTACTTACCCACCCCAAGCGCTACAAGTGTCCGGCTGCCGAGATATATGGCGACCCAGCTTGACCTCTCCCTCACTCGCCAGGGCTCGCTACCACGGTTATCCTAAGTCGTGTTTATTTCTACTTGTGTGGAAAAACTAAAGAACAAAGAGAAACCGTTTCAAGAATATTGCTCTGCCCCTCCAGTGTCAACGGAAAAGGTTCAATAACCTTTTTTATCCGGCGGCAGGGCGGTGGGTTCAACCTTTCGGCTTTGAAACACGATCTTGCCTCCGAAATTCCGCTCAACCAACGCCATCGCGATACAAAATGTCTCCAAACCCTGTAAGTACACGTCATGGGTCAATCTATTCTCTTTCTTTCCTTCTTCTCCCATATATGTGTTAAACTATGCAAAATGTGCAATTGCTCTTATGTTAATTTTGCTGGTTAAAAGTGCTAACGGTGAAAATTAAAAATCTATGGTAGCAGGAAAAGGCAACACTCTGTCACTCCTCTTGATCCGAGGTCATGTGCTTCAAATAGATGTGAGAACATGACTCTCGTTCATTAAATCATCCATTCTCTCGGTTTTAGAAATTCAAATCAAATAAAAAAAAAATGATAATAATAATGAACAGTAAAAAATGCAGCTTATTATAAACACCGGCTAGTAGCACTTTCCCTCTCAGTTGATTTCTTTTTCTCTTACTATCTTGGCCCCCTGCACGTATGATCTGGTTCGATAATACATTAGATGTGTGTAGAAGTGAAATGTGACTCCTTAGAAAACACGTAATGTGCAGAGACACACAGTGTGATGCCAGTTGTATATTATATGTATAACTCATTCACCAATGATTTACCTATGCATACCTATGTTACATGCACATAAATCATTCCATTTCATGTCTGCCTTATCAGCACATGTTATATGTTATAGTCAGATGCATTACCATAGTTTTATGTAAAGTCGATCTGGCAACCTTACTACCCAGCGCATGCGTCCTGCATGATGCCCCAGAGAGAGACAACCGGACTGATGGCTCTGCATGCTGACCCGTTGTTCCTGCATTTAAAGCCTAATACACCTCATCAGGACATGCTGATCTCTTTCAACCTACGATACATCATCACTAGACACAGTGAGTCGTAACAAGATGAACTGTGTGTATCCAACACGGTACCGAAGGAGACCTAGCTGCCGCCACAGTTGCCCTGGAATACCGTGGGACGTACGTCGCCGGAAGATCACCGTAGGTTTGAGGACCAGGAGTCATTAGTACAGGTATTAAGCCACCCCAGGATGAAGTGGTCAGCGAAGAACCGGGAACTCATCTGAGCAGGTATCAGTCGCCAAGGATGCTTTGGAAGAGCGCCTCCCGCCTGGACGCCCATAGATCTGGTCAAACTCCAGCTCATCTGTGCATCAACCACTCTCAGATGCCGGAAAGGATGCTCCTGTCCAAGATACTCATGGGCGATTTTAAATTCACACTCCAAGTAGCCGCCACCGCTTGTGCCCGCTGCAGGCGTCTGGCTGCCGGGGTCAGATATAAGGCAGAAAGACTGCTGACCGAGCGGTCTCTCCCGCCACCCAATGCGCTGCAGCCCTCGCCAGGGCTCGCTACCGCGGTTACCCCCAGCGAAGAACAGTCGTATCGTGTTTATTTCTGCTCGTATGTTCAACTCATACCATGAAAGAGTAAGCTGTTTTAAGAGTATTACCCTGCGCCACCAGTATTAATGTAGAAGGTATAACACCATTTATACATACATTCATATTATTTTATCTATTGAATTATTGGAAATGACATTTAAAACCAAAACTGAAGAATCTGATCTTGCCATCCGATGGAATATAACTCGCAAACTAGTAATGAGGGTAGGAGAGAGAATTAAGAAAAACTCTTCTAGCGCTGAGAGAAAATGCCGCAAAATCCAGAAAGCGACGAGAAACACTTTGCACGGGATGGAAGCGGATAGTATGCTAGAGGAATCAAACGAACCAATAAGGATAGTGAATAAGAATAGTGTATTCTGCCGTGACGATGGACTTTAGCGACGAGTCTATTAGAGCCATTAAGAATTGTATTCGATATTCACGTGGCAATAGAAACTGGACCTAAGGGCTAGGCTATGTATAAAGTGCTGGGAAACTATTTCTCATTTTTTCTTGCAAATTTGGTATGGCAACGACGGACTGTTGCCCCGATTCCCGCTGACAGAGCCGGGGAAGATCCTGACGACTCACCGTCTGGCCGTTTGGGATTAACTGGTCAGTGCAAGAAATCGCCCACGTGGGTTCGAAATCTAGATGCATGGGCAATTTTGATATACAGGCAGGTGGTAGGGAGGTGAGGGAGGGAGACCCCGTGAAAGTGGGCCAGGAAATAAAGTTCACTGTATACTATAAATGTGTGTCACTATAGCTTCTTTGCCCGAAGTGAAGATTTTGCAAGCCTGGCGGAAAAGGGGGGGTGTAACGGGACAGGGGGAGGGGGAGGAAGGTGATAAGAGGCCGAAATAGGTGGGGGTGTTCAGAAAGCGAGGGAAGTGGCAGGGAGAGGCAGAGCGGGAAAGGGAAGGGCAAAGGGAGAGGGAAAGAGGCGGCCAGAGGCAGACGGAGTGTGAAGGAGAGAAAAGAAATACCTCTAGTATTATGTGATTTTATTGATTTATTTCTTTTTAACGTGGAAGTTTCCACGGGTTCCATCTGTAATGATAATAATAATGGCAATTATAGTAATAATAATACCAATAATGATGTTTATGATGATAACAATAGTGATGATGAAGATAATATCAATAGCCACAAGGAAAACCATTGCTGATCCAAAAATTCCAAGAAACCAGGCAGTAATTTGAATGAAAACGTTACCGTCTCCATACAGCACAGATAATAATGGTAATACTTGTAAAAAGAAAAAAAATGATAAAAATATGAGAAAAATATAAATTATACATATATACGGGTGGGTGCTTCACGTACAGGGTGGTGTGAAGCTAGGGTGTGATAGTATAGTTAGTGTCAAGTGCATTAGGCTAGCCTAATGCGAAAAAGGGAGCAGCTCTGCACAAGCCTCCCCTGCCAGTGAATAGCCTCTCCATCATAGAGATTCTTGCAGTGCCTCGTGGCCTCCCATGGAAACTGGGTACCTTGCGGTTCCAGGCTAAACTGTGGGGGATCTCGGAGCAGTAGGAGGTCCCAGAGGTTCAGGGTCATGGTCACTGGCGTGTGGACACACCCTGGCCCTATACCAACTCCTGTCCCTAGGCCCCCTGGGGTTAATGGGAGGCTTGGGGGAGGTGGGCCTTGCCAGTCCACCTCCCCCATATAGAAAAAAAAAATCAGCAGTGTTCAGTATATTTGGATATGCTGGGAGGAGGGGAATTGCTCCTCCCACCCAGCAAGAGAGGCGGGCTGTGGGTTCCGTTGGGAGGGCGACTGCTGGGACGCAGGATGGGAGCGAGAACTACTCATCCCACCAGCATTCTGGCAGTCGCCAGCCCGGGGGAAAGCCTTAGGGAACCCCGAAGGTGGATGATGGGTCCCACAGCCTGCCGCCCCCTTTTATATGGAGCAGCATCAGCGGAGGTGGCAGAGGTGACGTCTACCCAGAGCGACTGCCCGAGGCTAAACCTCAAGTGGGGAGTTAGAGTGGGGGCTTGGAAAAACCCTTCGTTGCATCAGGATGATCTGCTGCCTTTGCTGTCTACGGAACTGGGGAGTCTGAGAGTGGAGGTGGCTGCTCTCTCAGAGGTGAGAAGACTTGGCAGCAGCACAGTGTAGGTGGCTACACCTACTACTGGTCAGGCCGCAGCGACAGTCACCATCTCCAGGGAGTAGCCATGGCTATATCCAGCAGACTCCAGCCTTTGGTAGCAGAGGTTACTCCAATCGATGAGCTTATAATGGTAATGAGACTGAAGCTAGCATTTGGCTGTATACTTGCTGTATACGCTCCTACCGATGGTTGTAAACTTGACGTGAAAGAGATGTTCTACGCCAAACTAGCATCTGTATCAGACAGGTGTCCCCTGCAAGATATTCGTGTTGTTCTGGGTCACTTCAATGCAGTATCTGGCTGTGATTGAGCTGGCAATGAGATATCTGTTGGTCCCCACGGTTTGGGAGCTAATGCCAGCAGCGAGAATAGCCTCCTTTTCCAGGACTTTACTAGGTCCCAGAAATTGAGGATTTCTGGCTCCTAGTATCAGCGCCCAGACCCGCATTGCTAGACGTGGTACAGCAATGCTTGTAATGCAGCCAGGGACATCGACCACATACTCATTAGCACTCGGAGGATCCTTCAGAATTGCAGGGTGTATAGGAATGCCGAGTTCTGTGGTAGTGACCATAGATTGGTTGCGGCTACCCTCCGGGTCCATTTCAAAACTCCCCAGCGGTCCAATGTTCACCCCAGGAATTTCACTTGGACAGGCTGAGGGAGGGGGAGTGTGCCTGGGGGTATGCTGAGGCAGTCTCTGGTCGTTTCGCAGCGTTCAACAATATGACAGACTGTACTTCTGTGGGACACCTTCAAGCATGAAACGATTGATGCAGCTCAAGAAACGATTGGTTTTTGCCCGAGAGCAAAACGAAATTTTATCTCGCAGGAGACACTGAATGCCACAGATGCTTGTCGTGTGGCTCATCTGACAGGGGATCAGGATTTCCACTGTTCTCAGGTGTGCAGAACTCGGTCACTGTTAAAAGGGTACAAGGAATAGTTTATCAGGAGTCTTGCAGAGGAGGTAGAAGGCCATTTCTTAGTAAATGACCTTTGTCCTACATACTAAGCCCTGAGAAAGCTGAAGTCCAAGCTCTCTTCACAGGTGACAGCAGTTCGGTTAGTAAGTGGCCAGATCGTCTCAGATCCTGTTGAGGTGCGGGAGCGTTGGGCTGAGTATTTTGGGCAGTTGTACCAGGTAGACCCACCAACAGTTAACTTGGTTGTGGGTAGTACCGAGATTCCATTGCCACACCCACCCATCAGTGTGGATCCTATTATTGTGCTTTGAGTCACTGTAGAGCACCGTCGTGAAATCGGACGTGGGCTGCTTGCAGCCTACATTGACATCAAGAAGGCATTCGATACAATGCATCGGGAATCACTCTGGGAGATCCTGAGACAGAGGATTATTGGGCTAATAGCAAGTCTATATACTGGTACTGAAAGTGCTATAAAGTGTGGTGGGGGCCTGTTAAGCTTTTTAAGTTCTTCTTAAGCTTCTTAGTTCAGGAGCAAGGCAAGGCTGTGTCCTTGTTCCAACATTTTTCAACAATTGCATGGACTGGATACTGGGCAGAGCTACTGTTCAAAGTCATTGTGGAGCAACTCTGGGCAGGATCAAGGTTACTGAGCTTGACTTTGCTGTTGTTATTCTATCTGGGTCTTTGGAATCCTTAGTGGTGGCTCTTGATGCATTTAGTAATGAAGCGAAGCCCTTGGGTCTAGAGGTCTCCTGGACCAAGACCAAGATCCAGGACTTTGGGGACTTGCTAGAACCTGTTCAGTCGGTACGTGCTTGCGGCGAGGACATTGAAGTCACAGAGAGCTTTACATACCTTGGTAGTGTAGCTCATAACTCAGGGCTGTCAGACCAGGAAGTCAGCAGACAGATTGGCCTGGCAGGAAGGTTCATGAACTCTCGACAAGAGTATTTGGAAAAGCCGGTACCTGTGCAGAAGGACCAAGCTACGCATCTTCAAGGCCCTGATAATGCCAGTTTTGCTATACGGTAGTGAAACCTGGACATTATCCTGCGCCTTGGAGTCTCGTCTTAATGCCTTCGGTAATAGGTCCTTGCGCCGGATCATGGTGTACGGGACCTTGTGTCCAACCAATGGTTGCACCATGAGACAGGCACAGGACCTGTTACCTGCATAATCTGTGATCGCCAACTCAGGCTGTACGGACACCTGGCTCGCTTCCCACAGGATGATCCTGTCCACTAAGCAGGATCAAGACAGCCCTGGGTGGAGGAGGCCTGTGGGACTACCTAGGAAGTCGTGGCTTGGACAGATCGATCAAATCTGTCGTGAGGAGCTGGAGATGGACCGAATCCCTGCCTGGCGGCTTGCCATGACGGACCCTTGCAGGTACAAAGGGTGGATGCGCTTATGCGCCCCCGTCGGCGTTAGCCCCCACAATTATGTATATATATATAATTATGTATATATATATATATATATATAATATATATATATATATATATATAATACAAATCATCATATTAACTTTTTTCTCATGAACTATCAGCATACCTCGCCATGCACATCAACTCCGAAAGACTTGAACACGTCCTGTCTTTGGGCCTCGTGTGCGCAGCGGCCGCCTTCGTCCTCAACCACTTTGGCTTCCCGTGGACCCACACCTTCTTCGGTCTTCTGTTTCCTTTGGTCTTGATTTATTTGAGGACGGCGCGAGCCAAGGTTGGTGGAGGATTTTTTTTTCTTTCTTTTTTATATTTTCGTGTGGTATAAACGGAATAGAAATATTCATTATGAGTAATGTAGATTTTTTGTGTAATTTTTTTCTTAACTTCACTTTCACAAGCGTAAAATAGAGAAATTTAGAATTATTATTTTCACGACTTGCGATATGTAGTCCGAAGTATTTTTTCTGATAAATTTTTAATATTACATATGTAGAGGTGGATGTATGTACGAGTATGTGTTCCAGCGTAAATTCTTGCATGACTGTATGTGTATTAATGAATTAAATAAATACCAATACACATACGCGTCTTATTCGGTTTATACACTAATATCGCCAACATCTCGCCCCCAGGTTTCCACGGAGGCAAAGGCCGTGCTGGTGATCGGCTGCGACACAGGGGTTGGACACACGCTCGCCTTACACCTCGACCAGCTGGTACGCGCAGTCAGCTGATGTTAAGATATAGATCGAGATTTGTATTAAGGACGTGTGTTACATAAAAGGGTCTAGGGGATCACAAAAAATAGAGGCCTATTTGTGTGTGTCAAATGTTAACGCTATGGGTACAGCAAATACACCCTGCGTATCCTCCTTGCTAAGGGTGCAGGGCCGGATTATCCTATACGATAGAATAGGCTGCAGCCTAGGGCCCCTAAGCTTGAGGGGCCCTGCTAAAAGATTTACACACATATAGATATTTAGATATATAATTTATATATTTATATATGTCTATGAGTATGATATTTAAACATATATATATATATATATATATATATATATATATATATATATGCAAATATATATACATACATACATAAATATATATATATATATATATATATATATATATATATATATATATATATATATATATATATATATGTAGTACATATACATCAATATCAACATATATATATATATATATATATATATATATATATATATATATATATATATATATATATATATATATATATATATATATATATATATATATATAGTATGTATGTATGTAGTACATATACATTAATATCAACATATAATATATATATATATATATATATATATATATATATATATATATATATATATATATATATATATACCCACCCACACATGGCGGTGTTGTGTTGCCTGTTTTATAAGCCTTTCTTTTTCTCCGTGCATGGGGTGAGAGCAGGCCACCGCCTCAGTTATCACAGTTCAAGATGTAGGAACTCCATAATTATGTTAATTAGTTTATCAAGAATTACAATTTATAATATCTGGGTAAAACACGACTTCTAGCACCAGCACGTAACATAGCTGTGCATGGGGTTGGAGCAGGACGTTGTCTGACTAGACGGTGAGGATATCCGTACATATCGCCTTCCTCACATTGAAGGGTAAGATGTAAACAAACAAACAATTCACAGATAGTCATTATAATTTACTCTATTTGTTATAACACTGATTTTGGCTATATTGATATGCCTTTAAAGATGTCAAAATATGTAAACAAACTTTTCAGTGGAGTCCATACATATTTACAATTAGAACCAACCTATATATATATATATATATATATATATATATATATATATATATATATATATATATATATATATATATATATATATATATATATATATACGTATATATATGAATGTACACATGTTTGTCTGTGTGCTTGTGTGCGTTTACGCGAGCGTGCGTGGCGTGTCTCTATGTACTTACCTTTCTCCACAGAATTCATCTCTCCATTCTAAACATACTTTTCTAGAGGCTAATAAGACCACCTTCTCTTTGTTTACCTGGAAGGGTTTTCGAGTGTTCGCCTGTTGCGCCCATGCCGAGGAACTGGGTGCGGGCGCGCAAGCTCTCCGGCGAAAAGGTTCTCAGCGTCTCCACGTGTTGCAGCTCGACTTCAATAATGACTTGCAGATCTTTGAGGTTTTCGTGAGAGTCACCCGATTGCTTGCTCGAGAAGGTAAAGCTAGTGTCTCTCTCTCTCTCTCTCTCTCTCTCTCTCTCTCTCTCTCTCTCTCTCTCTCTCTCTCTCTCTCTCTCTCTCTCTCTCTCTCTCTCCTCTTTATCTCTCTCTTCCTCTCTCTCTCTCCTCTCTCTCTCTTAATCTCTCTCTTCCTCTTTATCTCTCTCTCACTCTTTATCTCTCTCTCACTCTTTCTCTCTCTCTCTCTCTCTCTCTCTCTCTCTCTCTCTCTCTCTCTCTCTCTCTCTCTCTCTCTCTCTCTCTCTCTCTCTCTCTCTTTCACACACACCGCCAAACTTTCGACGATACTCTAAACAGCGGTAAGCCTTATGCCAAACGAATCTCAGGGTACTAACCTCATCCATTCACACAGAGAAGTTGTGGGCGCTAGTCAACTGCGAGGGCTTATGCTGGACCCACGACGCCTTGCAATCCCTCGACTTCTCTCTGTGCAAAAGAATGTGCGATGTCATTCTCTTCCGAACGGCCACCACAGTCAGAATGTTCCTTCCGCTGGTGATGCACGCCAAAGGTAGGTAGATTAGTGTTGGTAGTGAGTATGCACTGCCCAGGTTTGGAGAGAATGCCTGCTGGTGTGCCCAGACCCTAGGGTGTTGTTCTCTGGGACAAAGAAACAGCTTAGTAGTTTGACAGGAAAGATTGTGATTTTGATTCGGGTCCTGGCCATGGTCCCCACCCCGAAAAAAAAAAATAATCCCCATCCAACTAAACCGAAAACAAGGGGGCCGGCCACAGGGCTATATATTAACAACTTTCATGCTGTACAACCATAAACCATAACTAGAGACCTACTTGAGTTCACTTTTTCTCAGCAACCACAAAGAGTTGGGGGGAGTTCTTGGGTGCATTAGAAAGGTCTGAAAGTCCTGCATGGCTTAGGCTATGTGGCGTTCCGATAAAGGCTCCTATAAGGGGTCAGGACACGAAAAAAACTAAAATACTGCTTTAATATTGAAGCAATAGTACATGGTTACAGGTTTATTTAGGGTGCTATGGAAACCTATCACAGAGTAAATGAGAAAGGATATGGTTTGCGTACTTGTATACCCCTGGGTATGGTATGAACATTTTCATACCCCTTATAGACCCGTTAAATAAACCCCTAAACAATGGCAAAGGTTACAGAGGTGATCGAGGGTGCTATGGAAAACTATCACAAAGTAAATGAGAATGGATATGGTTGAGTACTCGTATACCCCTTATAGACCCCTTAAACACCCCTAAACAACGGAATGGATTAGGGAGATGATCGAGGGTGCTATGGAAGGCTATGATAGAGTAGAGGCGATTGGGCTTTGTTTAGGATCTTGCATTCCTTTTAAATATAGGGGGCATAGGTACATGCGTCACCTTTTCGGGAGGCGCCTCTAAATTGCATTTTGAGCGTGATATCCTATATTTAGATTTGTATAGTTTGTTTGTTATATGTATATATTGTATATTATGTAGTTACGTATATGATTTTATATATATAATCATACATAGAATTATAGAAATGGTTATATATGTGATTATATATATAATTATATATATGTTGATACGTTTTTTTACGTGTGTGCATGTGAATATTAAAGGACTGTTATCGTTAATCATTTTGATATTAATTAAATTATCCATGGCATATATTCAACCATTATCATCATTCCCAATACCAAGAAGACTCTTCGTAAACAATAGACGATTCTTCAAACCCAAAGTCAATTTCACATTTTTTTCAGGTCGAATCGTAACCTTTTGCAGCATCCGGCACGAGTTCTCCTCACGGCGCGAAGTTCATGTTTACCTGATCTCCAAACACGCTTTTGATGAGTTTGATAAGTGTCTGCGGTAAGTGATGAGGAAGAAAAAGAGACTTCGATTGCTTATGAGTCCGTCTGTTTTTTACTAGTTTATTTGCATATCACTTATGTTTTCCTTTCTGCTTCATTTGTTTAATCGGGTTTAATCGCTATTCACTTCCGAATATTTATGGAATTTTCTTAGCATATTCAACGC